GTAATCTTTACAGGGAGGAGCGTTGCTGGTGCAGTGGTTAAGCACTCAGCTGCTAACTAAAAGTTGGCGATTTGAGCTCACTCAGTGGTTCTGAGGGAGAAAAGACCTGGCAATCTGCTCCTGTAAAGATTACAACCTAGGAAACCCTATGGGGCAGTTGTACTCTGTCATATAGGGTTACTGTGCATCGAAATCAACTCGACAGCACTCAACAACAATCTTTACAGGAACAGATCGCCAGGTCTTTTTCCCGCAGAGCCTCTGGGTGTGTTCGAACCGCCAACATTTCAGTTAGCAGCCAAGAGCTTAACTGTTGCGCCACCAGAGCTCCTTAAGGGTTCTTTGAACAGAATAGTATGAGGAGCCTGGTGAGCCAAAGAAATAAAAGCAAAGCTGAGACTGGGTGGGGTGGGGTGGGGACATGGGCAGAGCTCCATTCTCCGCCTTTCCCACTCCCTCTGCCCTAAGGCCTTGAGACACCTGACACCCACCTGAACACCTTCTGGAAACCAAAAACCTGGTCCAACTGTACCATCTCACTGATAAGGGAATGGCTCAGAAATATGAAGTTGTTTTTTTCACTGGAACAACCAGAGCTACAACCTGCATTCCTATTACAGGGCTTTCCCCTACAACACAATGACAAAGAATGGGAAAGACCAAAACACGTGGGAATATAAGAAGAAACTCTGAAAGAGAAACTTTAAAACATCTAAAGTTTTAGTTCATAATATGTAAACCTTTTTTCTCTATAGTTGATGATCTTTTGGGTGGCCCATTTCTATTTTCTTGTTTATTTTTCAACTCTTTCTGGTGCCATTGAAAGAACTTCCTGTGTGGTTCCAGAACCTTCTGTCAGTCTTGTGGATAAATACCAGCTGTGTAGGTTTCCATGAAACTTGACTGGAAACAAGTTCATCCCCTCTTGCACTCTCTACCTTAACCTTCTGTGGTCTCTTTTGATATTAAATAAAATTCTATGATTTCTAAATGTTTTCATATTTGGGGCATTTCACTTCAACCTCTTGACCAGAGTGTTCTTTCAGGCATATTAGTGTAGCACAGAAATGTAAACACAAAGCTGACTCAATGAAAGTTTGAACTCAGTGTATTTTCTTTCCAAGATAAGGCTATGTTTGTACAAACAACCTCGTACTTTATTTGTAAAAGAAAAAAGATGTAATGCAATTTATGACTGCCATGCTATTTCCACATGTGGCTAGTTTCCTGTTAGGTTATACACGTATCTTCATGTTCTTGAGGAAAGCTCTTTTTGTTTACTTTTTAAAAAGGAGAAAGTTGGGTTGGGGGTGGGGCAGGCGGTATTCTTAATCTAATTAGGACAGTTGACCCGGAGTCTCCTGGCACCTACCTCTGTTTACACTTACTACCTGAGATTGTAATTACTTTTGTGCATGTCCGCCTCCACTCTGTACTGAAGACTCTAGGAGAGCAAAAGTGTGTTAAAACTCTTGAAGTTCTTCTCCCTACTGAACTCACTCTTGGCTCAACGTTGGTGCTCTTGAGAAGTATTTACTGACTGATTATCCAGGAGACTTCTTTGTTGTAAATCAGGCATGTTGGAAAACTTCATTATTTCAGACTCCTGTACCAAAGGAGGAGGCACCTTGGAAGAAAGCCCCAGTGGTCTACTTCTGGAAAAATCAACCATGAACACCCTATGGAGCACAGTTCTACTCAAACACACATGGGTTGCCATGAGTCCAAGTCGACTCCATAGAATTTGGAACTGAATACCAAAAGAAAATACATACTGTGATAGTAGTCTACAGAGTCGAAAGAAATATATATAATAATAATATATATTAATATTAATTAATATTACTATTAATTAATTAATTTTAATATAAAGTTAAAAGGCTCCTTATAGGAACTATGGTCTTCAGTTTCTAGGCTGATAGAGCTAGTTTGGAGACAATTTAGTAACTAATCCATGTAAGAATAGTAGCTAATATTTATTGAGCACTTACTATATGCCAGGCACAGATCTAAGTGCTTTAGTAGCATATCTTATTTAATCTTTGCAACAATCCTCTGGGGTAGGCTATTACTATCCCTCTTTTACAGAGGCTTAAATAATTGGCCCACAATGGTGGTGGGATTTGAACCCAGGCAGTGTAGCTCCAGAGCTTACCTAACCACTAAATGACTGACTGACTGATTAAAATGCATACAAAAGAAAACAATGCTTTCACCGTACTAAAAATGAAAAGAACTCAACAGCTATAGTTTCTCAGGTGATTTATACAAAGGCTGTAACGTCCTACGTTTTCTGAATTTTGGAGAAAGGTGGGGAAGAAAGGTAAGAGAAAGCCGTCAGAGGATTAAATGTTTTTCTTCTTGTCCTGACCTGACAGAGAATTTTATAAATCATTTGTCTATTTAATTTCATTGATAAGGCCTTACATTTCTTCGAACACATTTCTTTTGAGTCACTGTAGGCATCTAACAGATATTACCCAACTGAGTTTTACTACACCAACATGAGGATGTTAAAAGTAGACATTATCCGCAGTGGAAGGGATGTGTAAAACTGAGGCATAACGAGACGGTCACTGGCCCACGCTCATGTCACTCCTTCCCAGGGTGGGCACTAAACCCTGGCTTTCTGAATCCTAGCTCAGTCCCCTGTTCACTAGGCAGCCCTGCCTCATGTCCACCACAAGCCTAGGCCTCCAGGTTGTTTTGAAAGGAAAGATGAGCCATTTTATTCTCTTTTAGGTTTGTGGATGGCTCCTAGAAGATACTGATTGCTCCCAAGGAAGTATTTTTTTTCTGGGTTTCCTACCATATTGTCTCCCAGTCAACCATGAACCAGCCAGACCCTGCCAATGACCCGGACCCCAGCCGTGAACCCCTGTGTGTGGTGTGTGGCCAAGTCCACTCCTCTGAGGAAAACCACTTCTACACCTACACGGAAGACGTGGACGACGACCTCATGTGCCATATCTGCCTGCAAGCATTGCTGGACCCCCTGGACACTCCCTGTGGACATACTTACTGCACACTCTGCCTCACCAACTTCCTGGTGGAGAAGGACTTCTGCCCTGTGGATCGCAAGCCTGTGGTTCTGCAGCACTGCAAGAAGTCCAGCATCCTGGTCAACAAGCTCCTCAACAAGCTGATGGTGACCTGCCCTTTCAAGGAGCACTGCTCTGAGGTGTTGCAGCGCTGTGATCTCGAGAATCACTTTCAAACGAGGTAAGTCCTTCTTTTCAGCGGACCTGAGAAACCCCGGCCCTTGTGGGGGCAGCTGGGACTTGCCTTGTCCCCCACAGACATAGGTGACCTCAAATGCCCCGGGTACACCACGAGATGCCTGATTCTCTTTTTCTTTGTAACCAATTAAAGAATTAATTCAAACTAAGAAACATTTTAGGTTTTAGTGGTGCTGGTTCAGTGTGAAGAAGCAGCAGATGACAGATGATGTTATATGTCTGTGTGTGTTTAATTTTTATTTATTTTAATAATTTATTTTATTTTACTTGGTGAAAATACACACAGCAAAACTTACATCAGTTCAACAATTTCTACGTGTACAATTCAGTGACATTGATTACGTTCTTTAAGTTTTGCAACCATTCTTGCTATCTTTTTCCAAATTATTCCTCTACATTAAAGCTCACTATCCCTGTAAGCTTCTCATCTAACCTTTTGAGTTGCTGTTGTCATTTTGATCATCTAAAGATAATTCTTTAAAAGCACACAATGCTCAAGGCAGACATTCTTTACTAATTAAGGTAAGTTATTGTTTGGTTTAAAAAAGACTTCAGGGGATAGTTTTGGTTTAAGGTTTATAGATTATTTCAGGTCAATAGTTTTGGGGGTTTATCCAGCCTAATGGCTCCCCAGAAAGTCTGGATTCCACTGAGAATTTAAAATTCTGTTCCATATTTCCTCCCCTTTTAATCAGGATTCTTCTATAGAGTCTTTGATCAAAACAACCAGTAATAGTAGCCAGTACCAGGCACCAGTTCTTCTAGTCTCACAGCAAAGGAGACAGTAGTTCATGGAGGCAATTAGACACGCATTCCATTTTCTCCTCCGATTTCTGACTTTCCTTTTTCCTCTGCTGCGGTAGGTGATTAGAGACCAGTTGTTATACCTTGGATGACCACTTGCAAGCTTTTAAGACCCCAGGCACTCTGCAATGAACTACGGAGTAGAACAGAAGCACTAAAAATACTATAAGGCCAATTGACGGGGCTGTCCTATGAAACCATGACCCTAAGCCTCCAAACAAGAAAACAAATCCCATGAGGTGTTTGGTTTTACATAAAGAGCATCAGCAACTACTCTATTTTTGTTGTTGTTGTTTTTGTAAAAATATATATAACACAACATTTGCCAGTTTTACATTTTTTAGGAATATAGTGATTTCAATCACATTAATCATGTTGTGTAACCACCACCCATAATTGTTGCTGTGTGTGTGTTTTGAAATGTGAAAAACTTTGGAAAGATCAGATTAACAGCTTTCTCTGGGGCTCATGATCCCCATAAAGATATCCTGGTGAACATTGCTTGTTTTTTCACTTAAAAAAATTTCTCCCTACTGACCCACGATTATTAGAATTTCCTCTGTGTGGGAGTTGAAAAAGCCTCGCTATTCTTCGTGAAGGTGTGCAGTGTTTCCAAGCAAGTTTTAAAAGGAGAAAAGGACATCATGCCTGGTAAAGTGGAGACTTAGCAAAAACGAGGGAAACTTCCGTGAGATGTACTGACACAATAGACAAAACAATGGACTCAAACATACCAACAATTGTGAGAATAGCGCAGAAACTGGCAATGTTTCGTTCTGTTAGACATAAGGTCACCATGAGTCAGAGCCGACTCGATGGCATCTAACAACAACAACACCTTGTGAAAGTGTGAGGTGTTTTCAAGTAAGTTTTAAAAGGAGAAATTGAAAAGGAGAAAATTTTTGTCCCCCAGGCGACTCGTTCCACTATCTTTCTTGCCTAGGTACACATATTGACAGAATTTTTTGTATCTTCTGATGGTCAACATTCCTGCTCCACCTGTCTGTGTCTTATTTTGTCTACTTACATTGTCATGTTCCTGGGCATTCTTTGTGCGGACGACTCAGGAACGGCACTGTGTCTTGTTCCACATGATGCACTCTCTTAGAACATTTAAGGTACTTAATAAAGGGTGAACAATAATGGCAATTGTTGGCATTATTACAGTTATTTTGTAAGAGAAAATGTGGAAGCTGGTGTTTATCTTGGGTCCTGTCATGACAAGGACAGGAGGCAGGCACAGGTATTTTTTGTTAAAGGTCACATACCTTAGGTCATGAATCTGAGTCTTTGTCTTTGAGGGCATGCAGTGATTCTGTAACATGGAACTTGGCATCAAAAGCAATGGCCTGAGTGTAATACTTAGCACATGTTTTCCATACTAATTATGTTGAACTCATTTTTCTCCCCAAGATGTTGAGCCAAATGTATCTAACTTGGCTTTGTTAGTTGCAGCTGACCCTGTTATTGCTGGTGTTTAAACTAGGATGAGAAGACAGTGGTGGTTCAATGGTAGGATTCTGACCTTCCATGTGGGAGACCTAGGTTCAATTCCCAGACAGTGAACCTCATGCACAGCCACCATCCATGTGTCAGTGGAGGCTTGTGTGTGGCTATGATTCTGAACAGGTTTCAGTGGAACTTCCAGACTAAGGCAGACCAGGAAGAAAGATCTGGCAATCTCCTTCCGAAAATCAGCCGATGAAAACCCTGTGGATCACAACGGTTCTATCCACAGCTGATCACGGGAATGGCACAGGACCGGGTGGCATTTCATTCTGTTGTGCATGGTGTCACCATGAGCTGAGGGCCAACTGGATAGTAGCTAACAAGAACAACAAACTAGGTTTCCCCACATCTTTGATTCCCTGGAAGAAGGCATGACCAGAGGAGAAGGGGTTAAGGGAGTCTGTTTGTGACCCTTCTTGCAAGTTTCATCCAGTATGATGGGCTTTGTCTAAGGGGAAGTAGGCTTGGAGTTAGAGGTAAGAAGATGCCGACAGGGGCTGGTGCAGAGCCAGGGCCAAGACCGGAATAACACCTGGAGGGGGAGGTGAGGAACAGGAAGAGAAAAGACTCTGGAATAGCCTCTTTCACACAAATCACTTTCCTGTGCTCCTTATGTTTTACAATTTACCATATATATATATATATATATTTTTTTTTTTGCAAATAATGTGCACACTGTGCCAGAACTGTTTTACTTAATTTCATCATTTCTGCACGTTATATGGTTGGGCATGTTATTTACATTAGTGTGTTATATGCAAAAAATACGGTATACGTTTGTGTTTGGGGCTTTATTAGTTTCCTATTGCTGCTATAACAAATTATCACAAATTTAGTGGCTTAAAACAACACAAATTTATTATCTTAACAGTTCTGGAGGTCAGAAGTCTGAAATGGGGCTTGTGGGCTTAAGTGAAGTTGTTGGCAAGGCTGCATTCCTTTTGGAGGCTTTAGGAAAGAATCTGTTTCGTTGCCTTTTCTAGCTTGTAGAGGCTCCCTGCATTCCTTGACTCATGGTCTCCTTTCTTCATCTTCAAAGCCAGCAGCATAGCATCTCCATATTTCACTGTCTCTGCCTCTGCTTTCATCATTACATCTTCTCTGACTGGCATTTCTGCCTCCCTCTTATAAGGACCCTTGTGATTACATTGGGCCTACCTGGATAATCCTGATGATTCCATATAATCTCCCCATCTCAAGATCCTTAGTTTAATAACATCTGCAAAGTCCCTTTTGTCATGTAAGGTAACATTCACAGGTTCCAGGGATTAGAATCAGGACATCTTTGAAGGGGTCATTGTTTTGCCTACCACAGTTTTGTGAGGGAGAAGTGAGAGAGGAGAGAGAGAGAGGGAAAGAAATGGAGGTACTTTCTGGAGAGAAATTGGACACCAGGCAGCTTCTCCTCATCTCCTCACCTCAAAAACTGATTTGGGGCCAAGGATATCACTAAAAGTAGAGATAAGATGACACATGGTTCTAAGGGTGAAGCTGGAACAGAAGTGGGAAAGGGAAAAGGCTGGGAAGAGGCCATTGGGACAAACGGGGTGTCCAGGAGTGAGATCTCACGCACACTCAGCGGCTGGAGCTGAATTTCATTCACCCGCCCACACAGTGTATGTGACCCACACAACTCAAGGAAGCCCAAGATACAGGCCTGATTAACACTCAGCTGATAATGATATGCACTTCTGAAAAACAACAGTGAGGAAAGAAACCAAAACTAATTGAAATTGCAGCTTCGGAGTCCTTCACAGGCGCCAATCAGCCGGTCTCTGTGGAGAGGAAAGCTCCCACATAAATGAGGTGTTGGGCCTCGACACCTGCCTTTGAAGCTCATCACACTTCAGCTTCCTAAGAAGGTTAAAACCAGCATTTCCAAAAATATATTGTATATATTAGTCATCAGGTGCTTAATATATACTCCCTTATACTCCCACCCTCTTGGCATTTTATAGGCAGGGTTAAGAATTTGGAGCTAATCCAGAGCCTGACTGAGAGCCCTTTTGGGCCAGTGGACCACTTCTTCCTCCCCTCAGAACGGACATGAAGAAGATTAAGTAGTTACAGCCTCTGGAGTCTCTTGAACTAGGAAAATGAAGTTACGAGGAGGCAAGTATTTTCCTTAGATTTCTATATGAGGCCTCCAGGTTGGTGGTTGCTCATATGGGAGTGTTGTCTTACACATGTGCTGGAAAATAGCTTTTGTTTCTAAATCTTGCACCTTGGTTTCCATATTTAAAATGCGATGAGTTTTAAAAAAAATACTCTTTGGCTCATGGCATTTTAATGAATATAAACTAGGCAGGCTGAGAGAATTTAACTATTATTCTAACCCAGACCATCTGCCCAGTCACTGAGAGGCTGTGTGGAGGCGAAGCTTTCACTTCCTTGACCCTGAGTGGGAGTCACCTTAGGCTTAAGACTATGTCTTCATTGTGTAATACCGTCACCTGCATATAATATTTATCAAGGATCCACAGTAGGCCAAACCCTGAATGGAAGAATAAGCTATACAAGCCATGATCTCTGCCTCTGAAGAAGTGGCATTTTAAAGATAAAAGAGAGAGATTGAAAACACACACACATTGACTTGTTTTGTAGTGCAAGTCACTGCCCTTCTTTTTTGCTCTTATTTTGTAGTAATGGTGGATAATAAAGCTGACCCTT